ATGTGGATTCAACAGGAAATTTCATATTTTAAAGCAGCCAACCAACAGGTTTTTCATGACCTAACCACATACTGAAAAACTAGCCAACAAGTACACAAGCTTAGCACAAGCCTTCAGACCCAGTAAATGCATACTCAAGTCTGCACAACAGGACTAGACTGAAAAGCTTCAGCACAGGAAAGAAAGAGTGCTGCGCAAAGACGACTGCAGCGGTGGGAGCTCATGCGAGAAATACAAGTAAATGATGAGCTGGAGGACAGCTATATATCTCTAGGACTTTCTGATGGTGAAGGGACAGGTTCTGCTCCCAAGCAAGGCTCTACTGTATAAGTGAGCCATAAATAATAACCCGGGGCAGTTCTCCACATAGTCAATAAAAAGGATCCCCATGTTGCCATTGGGGGATTGATCATTTCACTGAGGCATTTGTAACTTATACAGCAATTTTCTATGGCACAAAGTTAATAATAAATGCACCAATAATAAAAATAAATTCCCATTTTATTTGCAATGAATAAATAAATAGGTATGGTTACAATTAAAGGGACAGTTCACCCAAAAATTAAAATTTGATGTTTATCTGCTTACCCCCAGAGCATCCAAGATGTAGGTGGCTTTGTTTCTTCAGTAGAACGCAAATGGAGATTTTTAACTCCAGCCGGTTTGTGCCAGTATACACGCCTCACACACCTCACGCACAGGATGCCGTGCGTGTGCTCAAAGCAGTTTGACAGTGGTGTATTAGAGGTAAAATATGATATAAATACTGTTCGGTTTCTCGCACAAACTGATTGTTTCGTGTCTTAGGACATCAATGATTCGTCACGAGCCGCAGGGTTTAATTTGGATTTGTCTGTGCATGTTTTTTTCCCTCTCATATATTTTTTTACCATTGCCATGCATTATTCGACTGATAGACTGCAACATCTGGAGTTAAAAATCTCCATTTGGGTTCTACTGAAGAAACAAAGTCACCTACATCTTGGATGCCCTGGGGGTAAGCAGATAAACATCAAATTTTCATTTTTGGGTGAACTATCCTACACATTAAAGGGATAGCTCACCCAAAATGAAAAACGACCCTATGATTTACTCACCCTCAAGCCATCCTAGGCGTATTTTACTTTCTTCTTTCAGATGAATAGAATCGGAGTTATCTTTAAAAAATGTCCTGGCTCTTCCAAGCTTTATAATGGCAGTTAACGGGTGCTGAGATTTTGAAGTCCAATAAAGTGAATCCATCCATCATAAAAAAAGGGGGGGGGGGGGTTAATAAAGGCATTTTGAGGTGAATTGATGCTATGCCTACGTCCTAAGTCATCTGCTGGAACGCCACTCTCTCGTGTACACAAATACAACAGTTAGCAGAAGCTAGAGATTCCGGTTTATAAAATATATAAAATATGGATGTTTTTCTTACATAAAAGCATTGATTCGCTTGAGGGTGAGTAAATCATGGGTTCATTTTCATTTTTGGGTGAACTATCTCTTTAATGAATGACAATTAAATTGTTAACCTGGTTAAGGCATTTAATAAAATTTGATGTTATATTTATTCATGGACACTTTTTATATTAAGTACTACTTTTTATAAAGTATTAGATGCTTCACCACAACAGAAACAATTGAAATGCCTAAAATCCATAGAAAAACTGTGGAAAGTTCTCCAAGGTGCTTGCAACAGTACTATGAACACACTAATTGTAAACGCTGTGTTGTAGGAGAAGATCATACACAAATCTCACTGGATTATTATGATATTTGCAAAATGAAGTTTTGAAATCTAAATGTTACACTAGAAATCTTAAATATTTTTGAACTTTTTATATATCAAATCCGAATTTAGCAAAAAAAATTTGCAGCTCGAAGCTCAACAAGTTTGAAATATATACTAATTTCAATTTAAAATTTGTATTTTTAAATATATATTTTTTAAAAGCTTTAAAAAAATAAAAGCTTTATTTTATCTACTTGTTTTCCTTTGTGTGTGTGTGTGTGTATATATATATATATATATATATATATATATATATATATATACTGTATATACACCTTGCTACGTGTACTGCATTAGGCTAACCGAGACTTGTCATTTGCACTTATATATTGTTAGTTTTGACTGCTTTTATTGTCCTCATTTGTAAGTCGCTTTGGATAAAAGCGCCTGCTAAATGACTAAATGTAAATGTAAATATTAAGGGTATATCAACAGCTACTAGCAGAGGAAAACTGAAGATAAGGATGCAATTAGGGCTGCACGATCAGTCGAAGCACAGTTCTGTGATCAGTAGTAAATCTCCATCCGCAGGCCAGAGGGCACTCTCGCGCTGAAACTCCAAATATGCCCCACAGAAGAAAGGAAATGCACATCGTTCCAGGGTTGTGGCTAGAAGGGATACCGCTGCTGCCGTAAAAAACTAACAATGAAGCCTGACAAGCTACGCAAAACCTCTTTCATATTCATGCGATTATGAAATCATTAAAATCGTACTGCGATTATGAAAGCAGTTTGTGTAACTTGTCAATGAACTACGGCTCTGTGTAGTAAATGCTGCTCCATCTAAACCCACTTCTCTATACCATCGAGCCTTTACCTGGCGCGTTCGAGTCGTTTATAACGTGCATTTGAAAAAGCAACATGTGTCCAACATCTTTGCAAACATGAAAAGCATTTATGAACCTCTTGTCCCACAAAATAACACATTTAATAACATGTTTTTATTCCAAACAAATTATTATAATGAAAATTATAAGATAAAACCATATACTGTCGTAGTCCTGTGTTTATTAGTCACGTTGAATCAATGAAAGCAGTTCAATCTTAATACGATGTCACGATTGTGACGTCATCACAGATCACGTTTGATTTATCCCCACCCCAAACAACTCTATTATATATAAAAAAAATAAATAAATAAAAATTTATATATATATATATATATATATATATATATAGTCACGTTGAATCAATGAAAGCAGTTCAATCTTAATACGATGTCACGATTGTGACGTCATCACAGATCACGTTTGATTTATCCCCACCCCAAACAACTCTATTATATATAAAAAAAATAAATAAATAAAAATTTATATATATATATATATATATATATATATATATATATAACAGACCATTAAGCATACCTATACATATATAGAATGCTGCACCAAACTAATTCATAAGGGAGAAAATGTAAACAATAAACCAACTCCATAGCAGATACTAAGTGATCTAGGGCTTAGGACTTCCAGTTCAGCCCATTGTAAGGGTTCCACCAGAAGTGGGCACTCAGGCAACGTAATCAATGACGTACACCCGAGTAAACGAGATGGAGGGAAGTTTGCGAGTGAAGAGCATAAAAAAAATTAACTGGAACGCAGCCCTGGAAAGACGTACATTACCTTTTTTCTGCGGGGAATGTTTGGAGTTTCAGCGCGAGAGCGCCCTCTAGCCTTTGGATGAAGATGTCTACTGATCACAAAACCGTGCTTCACTGAAAGATACGCAAGACAATCGCAGCTTTTGCCTAATTGCGATTTAAAGGTCACATTTTATACCTTTCTGGAATTTTATTTTAAGTCTTGATGTCCTTAAGAATATATATTTGCGGTATAAGTACCAAAAACCATCTCAATATATTTTTACAGCTCCTCTCTCAGGAGCTCTGCAAAGAACAGGTCGATTTTGGCCCGTCTAATTAATATTTATGAGCCTCTTTTCTGATTGGCCTGTTGTTTTCTGAGTGACGCATGGCCAGGCCAACCACAGGTAACTAGGGTCATGTATGCTGTAGCCTGCTGTGGATTGCTTACTCACAAGTAAGGTCAATAGAAACACCGGAAATGATGGTCACTGCTGAGGGAAATGTTGTCCGGCCTTACATGTTTGAGCTGAACTCAGACCCCCGAATCGGCGACGACAGGAGACAACCAACCACCTCCTCAAACGCGCTTACAACAGGATGTTTCAGAACGGTAATTCATGGTTGTTTTTTTTTCAAACACCGAATGCATTAAATACAAACCTGACCAGCCAAGCGTTTGCGATCACGTTAACTTGAAGACACTTGTACAAATGCAGATGCAGGTGACATGAATGGAAATGATTCCAGATTTGCGATGTAGTATTTGGTTTCTGTATTCTGTACTGTATTTTCCTATTTTCCTGCCAATCTAAAGGATCAAATGCCGTGTATGGTGTTTGAGGTCATTTGTGAATTAGCATAGACATAGTCTAAATAAAACAATTTGCAACTGTTACTATTATTACACTTGTATACAAAACTTTGTATTATGCTTGTTATAGAGTGTGTGAGGTCACGTGCACTTGACGCGGTTGTCACGGCAACCTTCACAGCCCCACGGTGCAATGATGTAGTTTCCTGACATCCAGACTGAACAGCGTTTTCTCGACATGTTTCCGTGTTGTTGTTGCTCAGCAATGGCATAGACGCGATATTGTCTGGCGGGTTTGGCAAAAGGAGAGTGGGACTGTGGGATGTGCTTGGGGGGGTGACTGAAGGCGGTGACTGAGTAGTTCTGACGTCACCTTTTTACGGAAGTCACAAGGGTTCGTGAAAAATCACAGCTACTTTATGCAGGCTGTGTGCATTTGATTGTGGATTGACTGTTTTGAAACTTATATGGTCGTTACATAGCACCTAGACCTCAGTTATCATGAAAAACGCCAGGAAATTTCAGTTTTGACAATATGGGACCTTTAATTTCAATTAATCGTGCAGCCCTAGATGCAATCAGAGTGCCTACTGTAGTTTAAGTTTGTATGCAAGTGGGCATCACCATTCATGAAGCAACAACGGTAAAAGTGCCGCAGTAAAGAAAAAATAACTTATTTTGACTTCAGGAGCCTCGGATTTGTTCTGCACAGGCCCCAAATATGAAATGAAACCATTCAATAAATTCAAGGATGCACAATTCTCATTAATCACAAGCTTAATTCAACCCAAATTATGACATATGAAAATTTAACGTAGCCATACCTGGGGTTCCCTCGCAGAGCTGCATGGTGAAGTGCGTTGAATCCATTATTGTTGGTAATTGTGACATCTGCACCTGCTTCCAGGAGCACAGAGAGCATGTCATCTCTCTTCTTGCTGATGGCATCATGCAGAGGTGTGTCCCCCTCTGAGTCCTGCAGGGGGCAGCATTAAGTTAAACGCTCTTTAGTATGTGCTGCTTTTTCTACTACATGCAACACAGCATTATATAAGTCTGTTCACAGAGAAACAGAATAAAAGAATGCCTAGAGTTTCACTTTACTGAGGGTGTGATGTGACTTGATGTACTGTTACCACAGAACAGGCAGAAAAATGCTAAATTATACAAATGCTTTGCCATGTAATGCCAGCATTTATTATACTAGCTATGTTTCATGTGATGGCATTTGCTTTTGAAAAGCAGCTAACCAATCTGTGCTGATTCATGGTAAAACTGCACTAGATTGTTCACAGCCGAATAGAAGATAAAATTCTAAAGTGCTGCAGGGTGTCAATCACCTGGGAAAACACAATCCCTTTATCATCTATTCATCTAGTTTGCAGTATAAACAGCATATTAATCAAATAATCCTTTCAAAACTGTGCTAATAGCATATGCAAAAACAAGAAGCTACTCACTAACTACCAGCTTTAGCTTAGAATGTGTGACCAAAAGTGTCAGTCAATAAAAAGCAAGGAAGGGCGTTTTCATTATAAACTGAGAGGTACTGAGACACCAGGGACTGAAACACTTAGACAGATAGTTCACCTGCAGACTGGGGTGGCAGCCAAAGTCAAGCAAAGTCTTCACCACCTGTAGGTGGCCCTTGTTGACAGCGATGTGCAGAGGCTGCCAACTAGGGATGTCAACAATTAATCGATGATCGATTAATTGTCGATAAGAGATGCAATCGATTAAAGCTATCATGGTCGATTAAGTCGTTTAATTCTGGGCTGCGTGCGGCTCATGCGCAAAACACATGCGAGCGGCTGTGAGTGACGGTGACGGTATATAAATGCATCATCATTCGTTCATAATGACAAATTAAGCTTTTAATGTGATTTATACTTTAAAAGTACATTAAAATAGAAACACCACAAAGTTCTTCAACATGGAATGCAATAGAAATGCAGTAACTTGTAGTCATTTGTAGTCAAAATGTAGTCATTTCCCCAGATTTTCATTTTCGAAACAATTAGGTGAAGGTTGCAGGGCTGCGGGACACTGCGGGGGAAGGATACCATTTAAAATTAGAGGCAACAACTGCATTTTAATCATGATCCAAACAAAGATGCTGCATACATGCAACATGAGCAGTTTTTAATCTAAATTAGATTGTATAATTTCAAAATTTGAAGCAAAAACAGAATGTGCTGACTTCAGTTTTGTGAAACTATACATAAAAATATCTGCATGAAACACACAGCAGACGAGCTGAATGAGGTACAGATTCACTCTCTGCCAGTAGGTGGCGCTTAAAGCATTTCCTTGGTTTCCGCTGTAAACAAAGCAGCGCTGCACTTATGAACTTTAATATGCGTTATACAGAGGCAAGAGGAAAAGAAAAAATACCATCTAAACTTTTCTAAAGACAGTAAGTTCCCCTCAGACATACATTCATAAAAACTCCTACACCTAAATGAATCGCGATTTGTTTAGCATCTCAACCGATTTGAATCATCACATATTTGAATCGATTTTCACATTACATCCCTATTCCTCTAATAAACAAAGCTTTTATACCACACTTGTCTTAATCAGAGCTTATAATTTGTAAATAAATAATTGCTGGATTCAAAACAGCAATTAAAAGGCGCTGTGACCGACACTTGACAATACGTTTTCCCGGCGCATTCAATGATGTTACTAAACGTTGATGCCTCAACTAGAGCATCGTTCACAAGTTTCTGCAGGACCTATCTAGCCTAGGCACAGGTTTTCAAGCCCTGGGACAAAATGGGATGCTTTAAGGAAGATGTATAGCCTATGTAAGTAATAGGCCTAAAATAAAAATAACAATTCGTTTTCATTAAAAAAAAAAGCGAAATATATCTGACTTAAATAATTAAGCTAACAGATTTAAAACAGAAGTGTGGCGCGGCGCTCCATAAACAAGTTCACGGAAAGGAAAGGATGACAGCATGCACTGTCACGATCTAATGCACCGTAAATGACGGATTTTTAAAAACAAATAGGCCTACCGGAACGCAAAAAGGTAAAATCTGACATTTTCCGGAACAGGGTCCATCAGGATCAAATTAAGTACTGGTCATAATACTCACATAAAAATGTTTCATGTTAGCAACAGTGTGTTTTGCTGCAGCAGCGCCGATGGAAGCAGTTCACTGACTGCGCAGAACAGCCACAAGCGCCACAGTTACGTTTGGGATAATTTTATTTTAAATGCCATAATGTCAGTTGAAAACATTACAATATTGTTTTAAAATACAATAACGAGCACCACGAAACCATTTAAAGAGGTGCGTTCAGCGGTCTCCGTGTCGGGATAAGAAAAAGGCATAAAAAATAAAATGATCTCAAACGTACGGCACGCTCTCTTCATTTTAAGATGTGGGTGTCCAGGGCAATATTATTATGATTATTATAATTATGTGTATTTTATTAAATTGATAGCATTACAATTATTTAAAATATATATTTCATTAAATTACAACTATTCATTAAAAAAATCTATAAAATATTACTAAAGTGAGTGAGTGAGTGAAGTGACATGTGGCCAAGTATGGTGACCCATACTTGGAATTAGTGCTCTGCATTTATCCCATCCAAAGTGCACACACACAGCAGTGAACACACACACACCGTGAACATACACCCGGAGCAGTGGGCAGCCATTTTTGCTGCGGCGCCCGGGGAGCAGTTGGGGGTTCGGTGCCTTGCTAAAGGGCACCTCAGTCGTGGTATTGAAGGTGGGAGAGAGCGCTGTACATTCACTCCCCCCACCTACAATCCCTGCCGGTACAAGACTCGAACCCACAACCTTTTGGGTTACGAGTCCGACTCTCTAACCATTAGGCCACGACTTCCTACTATTAGTAATAATGGTATTTAATAATTATATTTTTGAGAAATACAGACCGTCTTAATTTCTTTGCATTTAAAAATTTAACCAAAGAGCTTTTATTTAAAAAAAAAAAACAGATCTTAAAGTTTCTAAGTTCCTCTTTTATTGACAAAATTCAAACACTGACATTCAAAAAAATCTAATAATTATTATTCATATTTCATTCAATCAAAATGTTTATTTTAATAGAATTATAACAATTAAACAAATCAATAAAGAAATGTTACTTTTGTTATAATACCATAATGTAAAAAAATATAGTATTTAATAATAGTACATTTAGTTTACAGAAAAAGAGTAAAAACAGGCCATCTTAATTTCTTTGCTTTCAATCATTAAATCAAAGAGCTTTTATTTTGAGGGAAAATCACAGATAGAGCCATCCACGCTTCTCATTTGTTGACTTTCAAACCAGTTTCAAAAATTGGATTCATTGGATCTACACAAATCACACAAATTATATATTTTGGATTAGCTATGGTGATTTTCACCCAAAAAGTGAAAAGTTTGCATCTCTGATCCTGGCGCATTCAAAATACACAAGGAAACATTTCACTAAATTCAATAAGTGAAATTCAATAACTAGCTCCATGAAGTCTCTCTCACAACAAAAACATCTGCTTGAGGTGTCTGAACTACAAACAAACAAGATCTAAGTGGCTTAAGGTCAGTAGTCAAGCCACAGCATATTGTGGTTTGCCCTGTTCCAAACACAATAAACTCCAGGGGGAAAAAACTGCCAAAAGTGACAAGAGGTGGTTTAGGAGCAAGATCCAAGACATACCTCAGCCTCCAGGTCCACATTATGTTTCAGCAGCAGTTTGAGGACGTCCACATGGCCATTTTGGCTGGCTGCCTGCATGGCAGTGTGTCCTGCACACTGCCCGTTCACCTGGAAACAAAAAGACAGAGATGACCACATCATGCTATTTGCATCTCAGATTCCATGTTTGTGACATTCTTTAAAATGTGTTTGTGCGCACGTGTATAAGCGTATACACAAGTGTCTATTTGTGATCTGCAGCAATGCGGTAAGTTAAACCAGTGTGCAGAGGCATGAATATTAATGCTGGAGCCCCTGGTGTATTTGCAGGACATGTCCTGCCGAGCATATAATTTGGCCAGTCCCCCTAGGCAATTTGACTTCCCTTCATCTCTCTCTGTGCTACGAGCAATTTCTTCAATGAGGGGCGGCAGGGCACCGGGCCAGTCCTGGCACCAACACAACCGAAAAAGTGGGGGAAAAGAAGACTCAAACTGATCAAATATATTGAGGTAAAGTCAGATTATAAATATAGAATTTCTCTATGATAAAACTTTACGTATAAAATTATATAATAATAATACAACACAAAAAAAAATATATAAAGATTGTTTAAAAAAAAAAAAACACGCAGGTCGCAATTTAAAAATTCCAGGTCTTCCATGACTGTGGGAATAATGCTAATACCAAATATCATTGCTATATCACATGTTCATTGTGCACTGCACTACATTCCAGTGTCTAGTCTCTCTATTCCAAACAAAACTTGGATCAACTTCCTCCTCATTTCCTTTTAATCACCATGCTGTGCAATCACTGGCATAATCAAACAGTTTCCCATTGTTATTGTGGTGAGACCATCGAGAGCTTTGCGATGCAGTGATGTTCAATTTGAAATTTACACAAGCAATGTTCTTCAACCCCTCTCAAAAAACGTCAATGAAACCATTGTTTTAGCAGCATGTACAGATGGCTGACAGATGAAAACATTCTGATTAAAACTGCTTGATTGTTTTGTTCAGTCTTATTTAAAACGATTTATGTGCCCATGTCTTCATACGAATGACTGTTGAATACTTTCAGAATGTTAAGAGACTAAACTGAAGCGGTTCCATAATTCATAAACTGAGAGTTTCAGGCTCATAGGAGAAGTCTCATACATATAAGAGCAGCCATCATTCTTTGATTGTGCGTTTGATCTGATCTGTCAGATTCCAGTTAGAACCAAAAGGTGCAAGCAGTTCAAAGTGGTCTTGCTACAAATTAGAACCATTATGTTGCTTGATCAAAGTACTACTTGCATAAGTTTCTTCTTTCTGACTTGCACTTTCTTAAATGTAAGAACTGCTACCTATTTGATCAGATCAAATAATGTCTTGTAACAAGGACTTTTTAAAGGGTTAGCTCACCCAAAAATTAAAATTCTGTCATTAATTACTCGCCCTCGTGTTGTTCGAAACCCGTAAGATCTTCGTTCATCTTCGGAACACAATTTAAGATATTTTTGATGAAATATGAGGGCTCTCTGACCCTCCCATAGACAGCAAGGTAACTACCACGTTCAAGGTGCAGAGAAGTACCAAGATGATCGACAAAGTAGTCCGTGTGAGTGGTTCAACTGTAAAGTTACGAAGCTACGAGAATACTTTTTTGCGCAAAGAAAACAAAAATAACGACTTTATTCCACTTTTTCAGCTCTACTGCGTCACTTTGGACGCGCGTTCACGACAGACACAGTAGAGACAAAAATGTGGAATAAAGTCGTTATTTTTGTTTTCTTTGCGCAAAAAATTATTCGAAGATGAATGAAGGTCATCCGTGTTTCGAAGAACACGAGGGTGAGTAATTAATGACAGAATTTTCATTTTTGGGTGAACTAACTCTTTAAGTTTTTAACTATTCTTTAATTTGGTGAGTTTGACTGTGGGAAAAAAAAAGAAATGGAAAATATCTCACTCATATTGACAGCAAATAAACATTAGCCAAAATATTCATTTATACTGGCAATTAAAAACATTAACATTGACAAAAATATTAAATAAATATGTAGGGGATGTGTAGAACTTTATGAATAATGGGAATTCTATGGAAATCTGCTGAGGTTTTTGTGGATGTGCAAATTTGGTACTGTGTATGTGTTATGATAGAACTCTTACGTCTACATCAGGTCTCTTCAGGATGTCCTCTACTTTGGCTAGGTCACCATTGGCCGCGGCCTTCACCAGCTCTTCATTAATATCTCCAGACTCCTGTGTCTCAAAAAGCTTCTTGAGGAGCTGAGACAGGCGCTCTGGAGGCATAAAAGGACTCTCTGTCAACACTGCTATAGTGTCTCGCAGAGTACACAATGACTGATGAGAAATGGATTGATGCTTGTCTGTGGTTGACTTTGAGCACTACTGAAATATAGGACATTTTCTCCTTCTGGCAAATCAATTAATGCCACAATATATTGAAATTAGGGCTGTGATATATAACGAAATAGAATTTAAATCAGAGGCACTCCCCTACAAAATCACCCCGAATCATTCTAAAATTTGAATTATTTCCAAATAGAGCTTTTCAAGTCTTCTGGTGAAAATTGCAAAATATATAACAGAAAAACATCACAATGTCAGTCTTTTCCAATATTGTGCAGCCCTAATTGAAATGAATAATTTAAACCTGAAAGTAAAATGTCCATGTGCCCTATCACGCCGTGATATCACAACTATCACTCGATCACATGTTTAACATTTTGTAAGTCACTAAAACTATAAAATAACACAAAAGGTGTGCATGGGCAATAAGTGACCAATAAGTGAAGTGCCTAAATACAGTTTATACAGTATAAAAACCATCGCGCTATCCCCTTAAACCACATATCCCTCTGTGTGTGTGTGCATCACCTCCAGAAGCATTAGTAACAGCAGATCCAGAAGGAGCCACTTTAGTGACAGCGGCTGGATTGTATGTCCAGGATGTCCCGCAAACCTCGACTTTGAGGTCACTGTCAGAGTAAATCTGTTGCACTCTTCCCACCTTCCCAAGGGTCTGCACAAGAGAAAACATGGGCATATGAGTGTGTGACTGTCCTAAAGCGAGTTATTTTGCATTTAACCAATTTTCCTTTCCTCTAAGCTCTGAAACTGCTGGAATGCTAGACAAGTTTGTGTGCAAACTGCATATTACACACAGGTACAAACACCCCTGTGAGAGCAACATCCTAAGTACTGTGGAGGGAGAGAGAGAGAGAAGAAAATCAATAAGTGTAAGGTCTGGCTTTTAAAATTGAGATTGGCTTATTTAAAGAGAGAATACCCAAAGGCTCCTAGACTTGCAGGACCATATATCTATATTGCTCATAACTGAAGCTATTGGAATTCTGTTAAGATTTGTCCATGGAGGACATCAAAAACAGAAATATAAACCAATCACACAGACTCAATGCCACTCTTAGCATCTCATCCACTGCTTTAGGAGGCAGAGCTGCTTGAAACAGTCTGTAGATAAAATAAAACTGTGCTATTGGTAGTAGGTTGCCAGTGGCTGCAAGTGAATCCTCATCAGCCTCTTTAAACTCAAGCAAACTGGGTCTTTATTACAAAGATGGGGTCTCATCAATGGCTGGTTTTATTGGTCATTTTATGTGCAGCCAAAACAGATAAATTTAACACGTTTTGAAAAAGTAAATGTCTTTCTACTCTGGAGCTCTGGAAGTCACTCCTGCATAACTGAAAAAGCTGTTGATTAGTCTCTAGATTTTCTTGTGCAGACTAGAGACGGATGTCTTAGTATGGAAAAAAAGCAATTATTTGATTAGATAAATCCATTACACTGTACTATAAATTAACAAAATCATTACAGAGTGATGTAATGGCCTAGTGCTTCGTGTCGCAATGGTAACCATATGTGCGAAACCGCTTTAAATCCTGCAATATTTTCTGATCCTGTTCCCCTCTCTCTCTCTCTCTCTCTCTTATTTTTCAGTCTGCTCTCTTACAAAACAAAATAAATAAAAAATATCCATGTTGGTATAACAGCCAAAGTGTAATATTCATCTAATCATTCACAGAAACTGTGTCATGTAATCATTAAAGGAACAGTTCAGCCAAAAATTTTAATTGTGTCATCATTTATTTGACCACACATTGTTCCAAACCTGTATTATTTTCTTCTGCAGAACAGTCTAAAAAGATATTTTGAAGAATGTTGATAACCAAACCGTTTTGGGAACTGTTGACTTCTATTATAAAAACATATGTGGTAACACATTACTTTGATAGTCCACTTTAGACATTATAATAACTAGCAACTTTGAAACTATGTACATGTCAACTAGCAGTCATTAGAGTATTAGCAGACTGTTTGTTTAATATTTGCTAATCGGCTACCGATCACTATCGGCCGATAATCACGTTGGGATGATTGATCGGCGGTCTCTAAAAGGCCAATCTCAAAAAAAACGATCTCAAGCTGATGATGCTGCCGTGAAAGGTTTGGCACGACATGCAGCGGCACCATCTAAGTCTCGGTCTGGCGCGGGTGAAATAATTATAATGCTGAAGGTGAGGTACAATTACTTACAAAGTAATTAGAAAACCTTGTGTGAGTCGTAATTTCACAAACAGCGTGAGTGAATCACCGTGCGTCCTCTTTCTCTCTCAAAATACGCAATTGGCTTCAAATCACCACACATCGCGTCTGTCTATAAGCGAGCTGCACGCTGCACAGTTGACACAGGAATTGTCACTTGCACAGTCGAGGCAGTGTCACATCGTCACTAAATTTTCTAAATTGCATTTCTTTTTAATTCTTGCCAGTGTTTAACCATTCAGCGGTCGAATTGTCACTTGCACAGTCGAGGCAGTGTCACATCGTCACTAAATTTTCTAAATTGCATTTCTTTTTAATTCTTGCCAGTGTTTAACCATTCAGCGGTCGCGCGCTCTCCTGGAGACTGAGCGCTCATGCACACTGGCAGCGCACACACATAATGCCAAGTTCACACACACTCCGTTTGCAGTGCATATGCGGTGCATATTTTTTTCGCGCTCATGTTAACGGATTAATAAAAAGCATTCACTGCACACGGTTACGGTCCGGCAGTGCGTGGATCGTTTCCGCAGTCTATTGCTGCGCTGCAAGCGCTGAATTAAAGTAAAAGTGCATTGTTTGCAGTAAATATGAACTATTTCTGTCAATGGTAAGTTTGTGATAACGTAAGAAAAGTAGTTTAAATGTTTTGCCAATTGCTTGAGCAACTTAATATATAAATCTAGAAGTAAATGCAAAAGTAAAAAGCATTGAATAATGTATTGCTTATGTTTATTGTTTAAACATGTCTGTGAAAGATTGTATTACTGTACTGTGTAAAAAAAGAATCACAATGCTGAAAAAGACGATGTTTGGATTTGAAATCAAACTAATGGATAAATGTTGTGTTTGTGGTAAACAGCCACAGATCAGTAGCGGACTCCTGTGTGAAAGCTGCTTCCCCTCTCACAAGAGTCACCTAAGAGAATTCCCCCGATTTTCAAAAATGAAATTCAGGCCCTGAATAAATGTATAAAAATTCTGATTGGAGTATCAATATAAATAGTTATAAATGATAAAAAGTAGGCTTTAAAAAGATCGGTATCAGCAGATACTGCTTTCTGTGATCGGCCTCAAAAATTCTGATCGGAGCACCCCTAATGCTAACACTTTATTTTGATGATGCCCAGCAGACATTATACCCTAAACTAACAAAGTGAGAATTAGCTGCTATGTAGTTGCAAATTAGGGCTGCACGATAAATCGCATGCGATATTTAATGTGCATCTTGTCAGAAAGCGGTTCTGTAATCAGCGGTAAATCTCCATCACCTGCGGGCTTTCACATTGAGCAGCATTAACTACACAGAGCCGTTGTTCACTGACGAGCTGCGCAAAACCACGTTCATATTCACGCGATTTTTTTGCCCTATTGCAAATTAATCAGAGTTAGTTCATACGGAGTTGCAAACCTACTTATAGTTAGTAGAATGGCTATGAATGTCTAAAAGTGGACTATTAAAATAAAGTGTAGCCACATAGATTTGAACAACATGAGGGTAAGTAAATGACAACAGAACTTTCATTTTTGGTTGAACTATCCCTGGATGAGGTAGGTGATGCTCACTGGCAGCATAGCTTCAGCCCACTCTCCATGTCCTCTCTGGAGTAGTTTGATGCGGTCAATGTCATAGCAGATCTGGACCAAGTCTCCCACCATGAACTGAGAACTGCCTCCCTCAGCACCAGCCGCCACCTCTCCACTACGTACAACGTTTGCCTTTGTGAGCACCGCTGGGTTAAATGTCCACCTAGAACACACAGAAAGGTTCTGTTCAATTCAGCACAAAGGTTAAATCACAGACCTTCAACAACAGTAGTTAAAATTGTTACATTTCAAAAAATGAGATTTTCCTGACTATTATTTCAAATGTCAGGCTTTACAGGGTTAATATTGTTATACTGCTTACTTTGTGATTTTGTTTAAGCAGTTTCATACTACTAAGAGGACTAATGGGAATGTTATGGTCTTATGTAATATCAATTTAGGTCTTGATACACTGATTTAACAATTCAGAAACATAGCTTCTTTTGGATTTGTAGACTGTTTATATCTAAAGTTGACATTTTTATGTATATTCTATTAATCAACATTAATAATATGTATAATGATTTGTCAGAATTGTGAAGACACTGAAACAAAGCCAAAAAAAAGACATTTAAGATAATATATAAAGTGTGACTGACCTGTTTCCACTAGGATACTGCACAACGATGTCATGGTCTTCATCAATGCCGCACACAGTGCCTGTGGTGGTGAGCGTTTCAAACATGCCATCAGTCCAGCCTCCGTGCCCATGCTGCAGCGACTGAACAATCTCCAGGTCCAAATCAATGTTGACCAAGTCTCCAATCTGCAGGCCTCCTGGGTTCCTGTTTCCATTCTGCTCACCTACAGAAAGTCACAGGTTAAAAATTTAGATGATCTAGCAAGCAATAGAATGACTACTCACGGTCATCTATTGCACTAACCATTTTTAAATGCAAATACTCTTTAATAAAATAAGAAAAAACAAATAAGCAGTAGTGCAAGAAGACAAGAAAGAGAACTCAATTTGATGTTCACATGTTGTCAAAATTGAAGTTCTCTGTGCGTGCACAAAAAGCGACGTGCGACTACCAAACTGAATTTTCTTTGGCTTCTTTTTGGACTTGAATGGCTGAACACTGCTTGGTTGTTTTAACTGACAAGACTTAAAGTCCTTAAGGGTTTTCCAGTACTTAAATTTCAAAAACCTTGTAAATATAAATTTGTTGTATATTTTTATATCATACACCAACCCCCTCAATTTGCTTGACTTGAGCTTTGTATGCATTTGTCTGCATTACAGCGAATTTCAAATGCTTTTTGTTAAGAGTTAAAGGGTTAGTTCACCCAAAAATGAAAATTCTGTCATTAATTACTCACCCTCATGTCATTTCAAACCCGTAAGACCTTCGTTCATCTTGGGAACACAAATTAAGATATTTTTGATGGAATCTGAGAGCTGTCTGACCCTGCATAGACTGCAATACTACTGAAATGTTCAGAAACATAGCGAGGAGATCTGTAAAAATAATCCATGTGACATCAGCGGTTCATCCGCAATTATATGAAGCTACGAGAATAATTTTAGTGCGCAAAAGAAAAAAAAAAAAACTTTATTCAACCATTTGTCTCCTCCGCATCACCCTGGCGCCTTTTATAAATTTGTTGTATATTTTTATATCATACACCAACCCCCTCAATTTGCTTGACTTGAGCTTTGTATGCATTTGTCTGCATTACAGCGAATTTCAAATGCTTTTTGTTAAGAGTTAAAGGGTTAGTTCACCCAAAAATGAAAATTCTGTCATTAATTACTCACCCTCATGTCATTTCAAACCCGTAAGACCTTCGTTCATCTTGGGAACACAAATTAAGATATTTTTGATGGAATCTGAGAGCTGTCTGACCCTGCATAGACTGCAATACTACTGAAATGTTCAGAAACATAGCGAGGAGATCTGTAAAAATAATCCATGTGACATCAGCGGTTCATCCGCAATTATATGAAGCTACGAGAATAATTTTAGTGCGCAAAAGAAAAAAAAAAAAACTTTATTCAACCATTTGTCTCCTCCGCATCACCCTGGTGCCATTTTGGAGAATATCTGCTGGATATCCGCATGGATTATTTTACAGATCTCCTTGCTACGTTTCTGGACTTGGGAACATTTCAGTAGTATTGCAGTCTATGCAGGGTCAGACAGCTCTCAGATTCCATCAAAAATATCTTAATTTGTGTTCCGAAGATGAACGAAGGTCTTACGGGTTTGGAACGACATGAGGGCGAGTAATTAATGACAGAATTTTCATTTTTGAGTGAACTATCCCTTTAAGTGAACTTCAACAGATAGCCCTTGCTCAGTGAGTATGGAGCAGTAAACTCTGCGTAGGGACTCTCTAATGGCGCTTTTCCACTGCATGGTACAGCACGGTACGGCTTGGTACGGTTCACTTTTGGGGGGGTTTTCCCACTGGGTACAGTACCTGGTACCTTTTTTAGTACCACCTCGGTTGAGGTTCCAAGTGAACCGTACCGTTACCAAAACGTGACGTGTAAGCTCTGCTGATCACGGATTGGCCGGAGAGAATCGTCACTACCTGCGTCACTGAACTTGCAACACAAACACAACAGAACCGCTAGATTTAAATCAGCACAGCCAGCGAAGGATCGAACGCAACTGTTTTGAACAAGCGCACCTTTTTTAACAACCAAAAAGTGGCTGTTTCCTTGTCTGTTAAGGAAGTACAGACATTCCTCTCGTTGATAGCAGAGGAGCGGATCCAGCAAGCTTGATGGGGCGACACAGAATTAAAAAGTTTTTCAGGAGTCGCGGCAATAGAGGCGGCGCAACTATAACGACATGTGAATAATCCCGCCCACTCTAAAGCAGTACTGAACAGCAGTGGAAATGCAAACCGAGCCGTGCTGTGTCGTACCGTATGACAACGCTTTCAAAACGATTCGTGTTTACACATATCCGCGAAAACGGCCAAAAACGCAGTATTACGTATGCCAGGCCAGTAGTTGGCGCTGTCATCTAAGTAAACAGTACCTGTAGGGAAGTGACGATTTGATGTATATGATGCGTCTCCGCTGTTGGTTGTAATATTGGTGAAGTAAATCCACACTTTGCTGAAGAAGCGTAGCAAACTCTTGAGCAGCAACAACACTACCATATACTCTGCCATTGTTGTGTATGTTTGTTCACGCTTGCCTTTAAAATCGACACGTACTGCGCATGTCTACATACCTAACAAGTACTACACACGTGCATGGCGATAACGGTGCAATTTTCAAAAATGTGCACTTTGAAACCCGTTTTCAAAAATATGCGTTTCCAGTCCCCAAAACGCTGTTGTCATGTAAACTAACAGGCAAAACGCATAAAACGTTTCCCGTTTTTGGCTGACAAACGGCCCCTAAATTGTAAAGCACAAGACGTTGTGCTTTGTGGGACCATTTCTTAAGGTTTCAAGAGTAATTAAAGTTGACCACTCTTGTATAGAACCTAACGGCAATGGCTTGGATAGCAAGGAGTCAATTATGGACTGGGGCCAAAAGAGCTTTTAAACAGGAATGTGTCACTGTAGCCATGCATATTTTAAGATCAGCCCCACCATACCATCTAGTGCTGACACCTAGTGGAGGCATCTCATACAATACACTCATACAATTAGGATGCAATAGAGTACTTCACTTGACCTACAAAGCTTAAACCCTTTTATAACTAAAATATATTCATGTTAAATATTATAAGCCTACTAGTATGACACATCTGGAAGGCTTACCCAACACTGGACAGTGGTCTCTGTAAAAAGTGCCTCCTTTGGCATCTTGCACACACTTCAAATCAGACTAAAAAAAGAAAAAAGACAATTAATTATAACAGATTTGTTAAAAAAAAAGTTTTTGAATCCCTAACCACAAAAGTCTAAACATTGTAACAGTCTCTGATACAGTTGTCTGCATTTCTTCCTCTTTATCCAAATCTAATTAATAATTCCAGTGGCAGATGGCTGCGCACACCCTCCGGATATATTGCAATCACAGACAAAAGCCGTTGCCCAACCACAAAATGATTGGCTGAAATTCAGACGTCGCAGAAAGTCTAACAGCCAATGAGTGGGCGGCCTAGCACTTCAATAACTGAGGCACGCTTTCTGTAGACCACACCCCCTGCTCTCTTTGCCTTTGGTCTTCATGTTGAATCTCGCTCTCTTGTGAAGAGACAGAAAGAGAACAGATTTCTTTTATCATGCAGATAGCTCATCCAGCTGCCCCTCACAATGGCTGCCCTGCACATGGCTCTTATAAAGAAGGCCAGCTTATGGGATGATTTGTCTGTGTGTGGTGCAGTGCATGTAGAAGGGGGGTGGGTAGCAACACAAAGGCCAGTTAACTGCAGTCTTTTGTGTATGTGCATAGTGATGGGGGTGGCTCACCATGCCCTCGAATCCCACTCGGTAGAGGTTCTTGGCCCCGTTGTCCCAGAGGATGTAGGCTGCACTGTGGGGGCTGGCAGCACTCCAGTCCTGGATCTCCGTCACCTGAAACATAGGAGGATGGTGAGGGAGACTTACTTCAAAGACTTACTGAACAGCTTTCACTTTAGTCACATAACTAAAGCACTCTACGGTCTGATTAATTCAGCTAGCGAACACAATATTCAAGGGGACAAGATTTTAGGGACCACGGACATCCCAATAAACTAAAAAACTGCATTATAAAAACTAATTAACATCTTAAAGGTCAGTCCTTTGCAAAAACAAATAAATAAAAAGTTTGCCACTAAATGGTACATATATAGTTAGTCAGAGAGGCTTGTCTTGGACTAGACTTTAAAGTCTAGATGAAACGGTAGTAACACAGCAAAAGTGGCGGCAGTTAAACGCAAGCTTGCAGGGGCCGGAGTCACCAGAGTTTTGTTTTGCTTTCATTATGACAAATAAAGTAAACAATATGAGATGAGAACATTTTTTATAATGGAAACACATGCACAAAAGAATTGTTTACATTACAAGGCTCGAAATTGTGACCATTTTAGTCGCATATGCTCCCTAAATTTAATGTGTGCGACCTCAAAATATATTTGGGAGCATTTGTGCGAGTGCAAATAATTGTTGAGGTGCAACCTGTTTTCATTTCTTTACAAAACGTTGGCTAATTACTGCACAGTATGTGCCTGCTGTGAGCTCATACAGTGACTGGTCCACCATTCTATCACAATCAACTAAACTTAATCTTTACGTTCTTACATTTAAAGCAGATTTTAGGCTGGTTAATATTAGCCGTCACTAGGTGCGTCAATTTCGCAAAAAAGCCCATATATCACAAAAAAAAATGTACGCTCACATGAGGTGGTTTTTCAGGCAATGCGAAAAAGGAATAATTCCCAAAAACTGCAATGGAAACGTTTTTTTCCCCGCATTTACAGGTCACATGGCTTACGTAAAAAGTCATATGATCATTCTTCAATGTACTATAACCACCAAGAAACACTTCATACGTGGCCGCTCTCCAGTATAAGGGGCTTTCCCTACCATTAATGCTTAAGACAATTTACACGGCACACGTCTGCGGTGCAGTGTGGCTCTGATACGGCCACTGAAGCTGATTGCAGCCACTCTAACGTTAGTCAATGCTTGTGTTTATTCCAACCGCGCCACGCACGTTTCTGAAGCGGCTCTCTGTGCTGCTTCTGTAAAGATACACGCATACGCCTCCTTTGGATAAATATAGCCAAAATCCCACCAAAATCTGTTGCCATGACTTATCGCGAGAGGCAAAAGGTTACGTTTTAGTCGCATAACATTGGTTAATGGAAACGTCGTCATTTTGCAATACTTTATCCACATTTATAAAATATCGCCAAAGTTTTGTGCAAATCTGTAATGGAAACGCGCCTAATCACTAGAGATGCTCCGATCCGCCTTTTTCACCTCCGATACCGATACCTAGGGTTCAGAATTGGCCGATACCGATACGATACCAGTGAAGGTTTTTTTCCTCATTTAAATAAATGTAAAATTTATATATCTCTGTGTGTGGAACTGATAATCATTCTTTCAATTTACTAAATACAGACTACTTCATTATGAAGAAAAATAAACAATAAATATGAAAAAATATATGTATATTCATAATCTATGACAAAAATATATCAAACTATGTTAGTGGATAATTCGGCAGCAAAAGTTATTCTAGAAAAATCAGTGCACAATTTTAGAAATCCAAACATTTAGTGAAAAAAACAATATTTTGTGGGGAACAAATAAAAGTGTTGCATTAAATATGGTAAAATGTTACACATTGCTATTTGTATTATAAAATCCATTAATGAAAAACATTCATGAATGTATTTATAAATAAGTATATACTATAAAATTAAAATACATTTCTTTTAAATGTATAGCATATTTTTTAATAAGGCAACAACATATGATAGATTCGATAGGACAAAACAAATACAGTGCGGCACGAAGTGCTTACAATATGCGCATCCGGTGTAGAATGTGCAGAATGATGTGCTTGAAGCAACACAGAGTCACAGCACGCAGCGCTTTGCATTAAAAAGTGCAAAGCACAAAGGGAAGAGAAACTGATGCGTAGTGTATTATATCGGTGTAACACTTATTGAGCCTTTCTTTTAACAGTTTTATATTTCAGTTACTGTGCACTTTAAAAACTATTTATAGTCTTTTCTACGCCTGTGTTTTGTTCTCACAGACACCCGGCAACAAGTAACAAAACAACATTAAACTCCAGCAAGAAGATAAAATCCTTTTTGCAAAATCATAGACATTTATTTACAAATCAAGTATAATAATGGGAACACAGAATGGTCTTGGAGAGAGCTTTACCAAGCTGACTGTCGTGTCATTTAATTGGCAGTCAATGGGACAGGCACAAGCCTCCCGGTTTTCATCCAAAATATCTTAGGTGTGGCTGACTCTTAACTTTTATAAAGAATATCTCTTTGGATTTGAGACTTTAGTCTTTGCAACTTTACAGATCTTCTTTATGCACCAAGAGCTTGTAACACTCCAAAGAGAAAGGAAAAATTTAAATCGCATCATATGACCCCTTTAAGCTATCGTATGGCTTCAGAAGTAGGCTAACACAGAATAATACGCACAATCTCGGATTTGGATCGGCCCTCTTTGACCGATACCCAATCCGACAAAAAAAATGGCAGTATCGGATCGGCGCATCCCTACTACTCACTCCCTTTCACTGCGCTCCGTTGTCACATGACAGGAAGCTAACTACTGCGGAAAATGTAAAGAGATGAAGAGAGAAGATGAAAAGAACACTGTTAAACAGGGCTCTCCCATTATCACTTGAGTTTTTATATTTATAACATATGATACAGTTAAGTAACATTACACAACCTTATATATATATATATATATATAAGGGGTGGAACGGTTCAGTTTGTATCACTGTTTTAGAGTCACTGTTTCGGTATATGCCATCTTTAGGCAAAAAATATACTGTCAAATAAAGAAAATAAGAATAATCCATCTAACTACAAGCAACAGCACAAATATATACAATAGAGTAAAGATACAAATAAAATAAACAGTGATTTTCTTTTTTTTTTTAGGTAGGTCTAGCAGTTTTTTAGGTACAGAAATTGAATAAAGTAATGAAATATAAAACAGCATTGCATATTTGATGGTATAAATTAAAGATTCATCTTTATTAAAGAGCAGGTCATATGGGTTTTTGAAAAATATCTCTTTTGCAGTTTACAACATAGCTATCCTTAATTGAAAACAGTCTGCAAAGTTGTTAATCAAAAAAGTGCATGATAAATAAAGATATTGTCTCTCAAAAGAGAGATATTCGATTCTGAATCGCCTTAACGAGTCGTCATATTTTCAAATCTTTTGCCTGTTACCGGTATACGTCACTGGGTAACACACATTTGCATAATCCCCGCCTTCCGGCGAAATATGTACAGAGTCTGACCTGCCCACAAACACTTCCGCTAGTTAGTGTGTTTACATCATGTTGAGAAGACGCTGTGCTCAAGGATACCACAGAAATACAATCCTCTATTCTCCTCTATGCCCCGCCTTTTTGAAACACGTCGATTTTTACAAAGCTCATCGGTCTGAAAAAGCGAGGTGTGCTGTGATTGGCCAGCTATACCTCAAGCGTCAGACAGAAATGTTACGCCCCTCACATACTGTTGATGCCGTGTCCCGGCCGGAGCGACGAAACAAAAACATTAAAACCCATTACAAACGAGGAATTTGTTGCATCCAGTGGGGACATAATTACTGATTATAATGACTTATAATGTCTTTTTACGCATTGCGTTGCATTGCGCCGCGTAAACATAAAACTCTGTCTGCATTTGTGATCGGAGAAATGACAAACAACAAGTGCTACTCTACTGCCCAAAACTCGCATTTGTATCATCAGTGGCAACGAAAAACACAGCGGCCTAGCGTGAGGTGAAGCCCCGGCTTAGCGTGTGCTGAGGCCGGGATAGAGTGAGCTGAGGCGGGCTGGACTCCGCTTCGTCCACGGTGAAAGTTGATGTATTCCCTCAGCGACCAGCACGGATCAGCTCTAGGCATGACGAAGCGGATATCGTCCTCTTTTGGAAGACCAAACAAAGTTTTTAGGTAGGCGTGGTTGACTCTTAACTTTTATAAAGAATATCTCTTTGGATTTGAGACTTTAGTCTTTGCAACTTTACAGATCTTCTTTATGCACCAAGAGCTTGTAACACTCCAAAGAGAAAGGAAAAATTGAAATCGTATCATATGACCCTTTTAAGACACCGAGCGTCTTTTGTCTGTCGTTCTTCAAACATTACAGTAGACACATTTTGGTTTACAAACTGTAACGTTATCATTTCATCCATTCATCACGTTAGCACCATTATCGTTTTAAGTGTTCACAGTTTACCAGCTAAACTTTAGCTGTGGGCACAATTTGCTTGCATAAGTGTTTTTGTATTTTACACCATTATTTTAAGAACGGATTGGAGCACTATATTATTGTTTTATGTAAAGGTGCTTTGTCAATGGTAGCGCTCGCTAACTTGCTCAAGGACTCTTCTCTGTGCCAATCACAACAGGCTTGGCCAGCTGACCAATCAGAGCAGAGTAGGCTTATGGAAGGGAGGGGTTTGCTCCGAACTTGCTTGGAACGAATCGTTTTGAAATCATTGGAAAATGACTCTAATATTAAATGTATATTCTGAGAAAATTACAATGTTTTCTGGCCTTAGATGCATTTAAACCTGTTGTATAGGGCTCCAACACAATATTAGGACACTTTAAAATACCATATGACAAAAGTTAAAAGCTTCAATCAAGAGCAATGAGTGATTTCTTTGTTGTTTCTTTTTTATTAATATTAAGAAAGTGCTGTCACTTTAAGAGAATGGACTGATCCAGTGCACTGATACAGTACGTTCAGCCGGCTATGTCTGCTATAGGATTACTTACCAAGACGGGCATTTTGACATCATTTTTGTGTGAATTTGTCCATTTAAACACAATAATTCAGAGAGAGCTTAATATTTGCGCACGTTCTGAGGCGCTTTTTCTGAGGCGTTTTTAAACTGCACAAGTGTGTCAATAACTGACAAGTGGCAACTAATTTTAATTGAATGTCGCATAATTGGAGCTTTGCATCAAAAGTGTAAAAACTGGAATCAAACCAGCAGTCTCTGCACTTGTGGTGTAGGCTCTATTTTAAATTATGATGCTACATTTATTATGTTTTTAATAATGCCGGTTTATAATAATGTAGCTTTAAAAAGTTTGTATATAATGTGGTTAAAAGGAAAATTTCACTGTAAATTTTCTGTGCAATTCTGCAGCTTTGTTTCACAACACTTTTTAAGTTACTGCTAATGTAGGATGGATCACTTATGTTGCATGATGCGAGTTAAATGAATACATAATATAATAATGCCTTGGTGCCATCTAATTTTGCTTCAGTGAACATGAAAGAGCATAACATAGCTGTATCTACGTGATGGGGGGAGTGTTTTTCATCTAATAAATGATGAGTAAAGAAAAGCGAGCATAACCAAACATGTTGAGGCATTACCTTCCCTCTTCTTCCATTCCCGCCATCCTGATCCTCCCACTGCCAATCCACTCCTCGCACCACCCGTCCTCCTGCAAAGATGCCCCGGGCGGTGATCTTCTTTGACTTGCGTCGAGATTCCAAAAGAACTCTGTGCAAACACATAAAAGTATGTTACAAATCCAAAATCAATTTCAGATCATATGCTTTGGATTACAAAAGTATAAGCTTTTGAAAAAGAAAAAGTCATTAAAAATGATTGCTAAATATTAGAGGTGGAGAAGTTACTTCCTGAAATGCTGTAGCTAACAAACAAGATCCCACTGTAGGCTTGTCAATTTATATTGTTTAGTTTTCTTTGAAACTCAAAGGTTACGCAAAACCTGCAGAATAAAAAGGACAATCCTGGATCTTCTTTTTTTTTTTTTTTTATCGCTTAGTGTTTGTTTCTAGAGGAGGAGCTAGTCTCCCATCTGGAAGCTGCCCCATGCTGAACCACGGCAGTTAGTTTCTGATCCTCCAGCTTTCCTGACATGTGTTCCTTTTTCTTCTCTGTGCGCCCCTAACTAACTGCTTATCTCAATACAAAACATGACATTCCCAAAACATATTTAGGTTATGCAGGCTGTGTTTGAGATAGCAAACTACCGTAAAAAAAAAATCTTTAAAATACTAAAGACCTGCAAAAAAAATAAAAATAAAAGAATTGTGCATAAAATGATCATGTGTACCCTAAAGCAGCTGGAAACCACAGCAGGAGACAGCAGCTGCCAAGGGAAAAAGGCCTGGCTTCATCACTGTCTTTGTGTGTTGTACTTCACTAACCATTCTCACTAGGAAAAAAGAGTCACACTTAGTTGAAAGGAGACCAGCTGTTGAGCTGACCTATTGTTTCTTTGAGCTCATGTTGAGGGCAGCTATGGGTGGCTGCCACGAGAGACGTCTAAACAACTGCTAGACTTCTTAATTGCCTTACCATATGGAGACAGTGAAGGAGACGTTACTCAAGCCGGTAAAAAGTAATAGAACGCAACTCTAAAAACAAAACAGCAGCTCTATTTTCATATTCCATGCAAGAAAGTTTACTAGGTAAACAAGATCAGCTGTATTACCAATTCATGTATACCTTATAAAAATCTGTCTGGCAACTAGTAAACATAAACATGTCTAATATATTCTGGTCAGACCCACATTAACCACAGTTCATACTAAGCAGAAATAGAAGAGCACAAATTTCCTGTTTTATGATCACGACAGACTTTCAACCTATTGACAATTCAATGAATCTTGATGCATCTTCGCATATACTTTGGTGAAAGAAACGGGCCATTTTATATTATGCACACACACAAGTGAGCACACTCCCACTAGTATTTGTAAATATTAAGCCGCAAAACGACTATTTGCGGTGATTTTAGCATCTGCCGTCTCACTAAATGAGGACAGAAATACATGGAAAAACATCTCCAGAACTGCTCTGAGAGTCACTTCATGAGCATTTGACCGTTTCATTTGAGTAAAACTATCCTCATATCATATACACACAGAAATGTAAAGGTATTCACGGCAACCCGTCAAAATAAAAGTTCGGTTTAACTTGAAGGCATTGCGGCAGAAATATATTACTATTGTTCAGTAGAATGCAAGTAATGGGCTGCTACTTACTAGTAAAATTATTAAAACCTTATTTTTAAGGAATAATCATACAATATTTCCTCAATGTTTTAATTGTATTAAATTACTTTTTTTCCCCAAAAAATTGCAAATAACAGCACAAAAGAAAGAAGATCATGGATTGCTAAACACAGGATTTCCAAATTTAAATTTGGAAATGAACATTTTTGTACAAATTAGGCACAGGTAGACGTGACAAAAAGTACAATATCCCTAAATTTAAAAACCAAATAAAACAAGACCAGTGGGCCAGCTTTAAAGTCATGCACTATGCAATTCAAATCTAAAGTAGCTTGTATTTAGACATAGATATAAACCATGTATTGATGGACATGGTGACCAATGATGCAAACTGCTCTGTACTATTAAAGGCTGGTATTCCCACTGAGCTCCAGGAAGCAGAGGAGTGGTCTACCTCTCGCCAGGCAACAACAGCCTATAACTGAAGGATATGTTGCATGATGGTTCTGAAACTGGTCAGAGAACTACCTTACCCACAGAGGGAATAATGCCAAGGAGTCAAGACCACAGGGAGAAAACTAACCTCTCACTACCAGGAGTGGTGATGCGGTAGAACCTGTGGCGCAGGTGGTGCTTATCACCATGGTAACAGGTGGTGCAGAGGTCATAGTTGGTGCACTCCGCACATTTCCATCGGATCCCAATGATGGGCTGCTGCCGACAGGTGTCACACATGGTGCCATCATGCTTGATTCCTGTAAGATGGTAATTACACGCATATGACAGGAGTTGACGTCCACCTGCATTGCTTCATCTAAAGTTTGCTCTCTCTCTCTCTCTATATATATATATAAATATATATTATATACATATATGTATGTATGTATGTATGTATGTATATATATAGTTTATGCCAAATCATTAGGATATTAAGTAAAGATCATGTTCCATGAAGATATTTTGTAAAAATATCAAAACTTAATTTTTGATTAATAATATGCATTGCTAAGAACAACTTTAAAGGCGATTTTCTCAATATATATATTTTTTTTGCACCCTCAGATTCCAGATTTTCAAATAGTTGTATCTCAGCCAAATACTGCCCCATCCTAACACACCATACATCAATGGAAAGCGTATTTATCAGCTTTTAGATTATACATAAATCTCAATTTCGAAAAATTGACCCTTATGACTGGTTCTGTGGTCCAGGGTCACATATACACACACAGATATATTAAACTTTCATGACCTGAACATTTTTTTATGAAATTAAGCATCAGATAATGTTCAGTAATTAGTGCTATTTTAAAGTAACACTAATGTATGTTCGACCTAAACAAGCTCGGTCTTGTTTAGATCAGGTGACAGATGCACTGATACTACACTAGGTGAAAGAGTCTCACCTGTGGGCGCACTGTCTAAAATCCTCACATCATAAGCCCCGGAGCAGCGGTAATTGGCGGCGGTGCCGTTATCCCACACTACCACCACTTCCTCTGGGCTCTCAAAACTCCTGACGGTGCCGAGGTGCCCTTCTCCTCCGTCCTGTTTACCCCACTTCCAGTCAGGCCCGCGGATAACTCGAGCACCCACTCCTTCCATCATGACTCGGTTATTCCTACCGGTAGTCATTTACGAGCAGATGTTGCAATAAAAGTGACTTTTAGCTAGCCGTCAAGCCAGCTCAGAAAACGTGAGGTTTTAAATTACGTTGACTGATTCGTCTCGTCTTACATCTGGGTCAACGGCAAGTGAAGGAGGGCAATTTAGCTGTATGGACAAGTAAAGGGATGACCTAGTTTTCTGAAGTCATACAATTAATTGTCTATTGATATCCTGACGACAGAATTTAACTGAAAAATGTGCAAGTTAGCAACACATAAATGTAACGATAAGTCGCTTTCGTGAGATATCTCTTACGGAGAAGAGTTAGCAAATTTAGGTTGTAATGATCATTTATTCTGGACACAATTGTGTGGTAAATTTGGAAAACGGTTACATTTCAGTCTCTAACGGCTGGTTTTTAGCAAAGGCCAGTTAGCAAGTCTAGGCTAACCAGCTATAGCTAGCCTTACTAAAGTTGTAAGCCGTTACTTGGCGTTAGCAAAAATTGCAACAAAAACTTATGATTTAGAAAAAAACAACCGTCGTTTTTATCGCGAGATGTAAAAATGGTTCGCGAACTTTGCCGTGCGTTCAACAGATGGTCCAACTTTGCGTGACGCGATTCAGAATGTCTGCGCGAGCTGCTTGTTTGTGAAAAGCTTCTGCAAAAAGCAGCTCAAGCTTCCCGTGCTACTAAGCCAGTTTCAGCAAGGCGTCCCGGTTTTTAATAAATGGCAGTGTAATATCTGAATGAATGGCTGTAGATGAGGTACTCGCAGTTCTTCATGCCCGAAACAAATGCACGCACGGGTCTGTAAACAGCAGCCACTTCGCCACGGATGAGGAGACCTTTGTTAGTGCTTTCCCAAGAATTTCACCAGCAGAACTTAATATTTCCTTGCCAAAAAAAAGATTCGGAGATAGTTTCTGAAAGATATCCTTAAAGCCGACCCAGGTGATATCAAAGAATTGGTGAAAATACGGTCTTGAGCAATGTTTCATTGAGGTGCAACTCAAGACGAACGCGTCGCCATTATTGTCAATCAGAGCTCGAGCCAGTGGAGGTGGGACTCACTGTTTGCGATCCAAGCAGTTCCCGGGGCGTAAAATGACGTCACGCCAGGATTTAAAGGGGTCATATGATGCTTTTTTTTAAAGATCATTACTTTGTGTATTTGGTGTAACAGAATATGTTGACATGCTTTAATGTTCAAAAAACACATTATTTTTCAAATACTGTATATTATTGTAGGTCCTCTATGCCCCGCCTCTCTCAAACGCTTCATTTTCTACAAAGTCCCTCCTTCCGACAAGCGCAGTCTGCTCTGATTGGCCAGCTGACCCACTTCAGGGATCTTATCTATGCACAATCAGCTTGTAACACTCCCAAGAGAAAGGAAATCGCATCATATGACCCCTTTAAAGTGAGCAGAGCCCAGACACAAGAGCATAGAATATATCCGGTGAAACATATATTGGAACGTTTTAAATTGAATATTGACTACTCCTGTGAATTTTGTAGTAATGAAAAATAAACTATTTTTCATTTATTTTTTCATTGCATCTATACAAAGATATTTTGGGTTGATGTTGAGAATTTCATTACAAGAAAACTTAATACAGCTGTTAAACTGGGTGGGTCTGATATAATTATATATGTTGATGATTATGGGATAGAAAAGGATAAAGCGTATATTATTCAATTACTGGTTGTAATGGGGAAGTTTCATATACACAAAATGAAGTGGTCGGGTGTTAAACCAAAATGTTTTAATTTTATCAACGAATTTAAACAATACTGTAATATGGTATATAAATGTAAAACAAAAAAAGCTCTCAGGACTTCTAACATTGTCTGCAAATTTGAAATAGACCAGTACCGTCTTCATTATTTTAGTTGTTTTATTTATTTATTTTATGTTTTCTTTCTTCCTCTGGCTAATTTTTTATTTTACTTGTAATCTTGTGTACTGATGGCATTTATATGCAAAGTTGTGTTTCTCTTACTGTTATATATGTTCATATGCAAAAAAAAAAAAAAAAAGCCCAGACACAAGATATTTTGTGGAATCTGGCTGTATTATCTGTCTGATTGTATTATATCATGCTTAATCTTTACTATGTATCTCAATATTTGTCATTAATTATTATATACATACATACTCAAAAAAATTGTTATTTACATTTACATTTAATCATTTAGTAGAAGCTTTTATCCAAATGAGAATAATAGAAGCAATCAGACCAACAAGCTGCCTGGGACCTGGGAAGTCTTAGTTAGTCTAGCACAGTACACATAGGAACGTTTTTTTTTTTTAAAGAATTAGAGAAATAGAATAGGTGAGTGCTAGGTCAGGTTTTATGTTCTGTATGGAACGTTTTTAAGTGACAATGTGATGTGACATGTGGCCAAGTATGGTTACCCATACTCAGAATTAGTGCTCTGCATTTATCCCATCCGAATCTTCTTGTTATATTTTTTCTAATGCAAAAAAAAAAAAAAAAGCCCAGACACAAGATATTTTGTGGAATCTGGCTGTATTATCTGTCTGATTGTATTATATCATGCTTAATCTTTACTATGTATCTCAATATTTGTCATTAATTATTATATACATACATACTCAAAAAAAATTGTTATTTACATTTACATTTAATCATTTAGTAGAAGCTTTTATCCAAATGAGAATAATAGAAGCAATCAGACCAACAAGCTGCCTGGGACCTGGGAAGTCTTAGTTAGTCTAGCACAGTACACATAGGAACGTTTTTTTTTATTAAAAAATTAGAGAAATAGAATAGGTGAGTGCTAGGTCAGGTTTTATGTTCTGTATGGAACGTTTTTAAGTGACAATGTGATGTGACATGTGGCCAAGTATGGTTACCCATCCTCAGAATTAGTGCTCTGCATTTATCCCATCCGAAGTGCACACACACACAGCAGTGAACACACACACACCGTGAACACACACCCGGAGCAGTGGGTAGCCATTTATGCTGCAGCGCCCAGGGAGCAGTTGGGGGTTCGGTGCCTTGCTCAAGGGCACCTCAGTTGTGGTGTTGAAGGTGGGAGAGAGCACTGTACATTCACTCCCCTCACCTACAATCCCTGCCGGTACAAGCCTCGAACCCGCAACCTTTGGGTTATGAGTCCGACTCTAACCATTAGGCCACAACTTCCTTCAATATTATATATTAAGCCAAACTTATAAGTAATTATTAATAATGAATAAAGATTATAAAAATTCAATAAAAAAATGTTGTTATTTATTTATGTTTCATTTCTGAAGGCTTGGACCTCCAATTCTTCTCAAAGTAATAAAAGTAGTGAAAAGGTTCTGCAGTACTGAGAGGACTATTAAGACCTCACTGTTATATTATGTCTTTTTATTTATTTATCCACCTTATTTTTCCGGTCTGGGCTGCTTCTACACTGAAGCAACACTCACTTGGATGGACTGTTCTCATTGAGCGTGAGAAAGTATCCCCGCCCCTTGTGCTCTCCCATTTCCTTCCTCCTAGGAGACAAAACAGGGTCAGAGTCAGTGGAATGAGCAGACGGGTCCGAGTGAGTTCACGCCAGAACACATCCCACATGCCTCACTCTTCCCCACAGTGAGAGGATTCCCTAGTTCTCTTCTCCCATGAAGATCAGTGCCCCTCATCAGGAGCGAGCAGTCTGGTCTCTTTTGGAGGACACAAGGAGGATGTTTCTGATGACTTCTGATGTGGAGGAATGATTGTGCTCCATGGAGGACCCTGGCCCCTTCTGCCAAGAGAACCAGGTGATGTCAGGCCCAGTGTGGACAGCGAGCTCAACCACATTCTCTCAAAGGCCTTTGAAGAGCTTGGCTTAGAATGGTCAGCCCCGTAAGAGCCTGCGCACAGCTGCCTCAATGAATGGTTCCTGCAAAGGCACCACCTGCCAGAGACCTGTACCATTTTTTCTGGACGTTCATGAAGAACTTACCAAATTGTGGTGCCCTCTCTACTCAGCCCACATTAACTCTTCTGCCTTCGCTGTGTTCACCTCCAATGACAGTGCTAAACAAAGAGGTTATGAGAAGCTTCTTCCCTTTGAAGAGGCCGTCACTGTGCATCTCAGCCCAGATGGATGCTTACATTCATATCCAAATAGCCCCTTATCACCGACCATTCTTGAGATTCACGTTCAAAGGGGTGACTTATCAATATACAGTCATTCCATTCGGACTTTCTCTGGCAATGCGAACCTTTACGAAGTGCGTGGCTACAGCCCTCTCCCCTCTGAGACAGAAGGGAGCTCAGTCAAAGCACAAGTGAAAGTGAAGTGACCCGATGACCCATACTCGGAATTTGTGCTCTGCATTTAAAGTCTGCGTGAACCGGAAGTTTACAGTGTAGTGACGTATTTCCTGAGTATTGAATAGAGTGCGTGGTTTTATTTTTGTGCCCCTCTTCTCGTCTCTCACTCATAGCAAACTAACGGTTGGAGGGGCGTGGTTAAGGATATTCTGCCAAAGCTGTCAAACTGACATCATCAGAGAAGGAATGCCATTCCAGAGCGGAAGCAAATGTTCAGATTTTGATTAAAGATTACCAAGACAAACAATTTTTTTTCAGCGGATTAACTTGCATGGATTAATTGTTCACCTCATAACTAGCAATGTGAGCTAATAAAGTAAATAAAGTCAATTTTGATTTCATGAGGACTTTAACCCATCCACACAGTAGTGAGCAGTGGGCAGCCATATTGCTGCGGCACCTCGGGAGCAGTTGGGGATTCGGTGCCTTGCTCAAGGGTCTCACCTTAGTCGTGGTATTGACTAAGTGAATACGAAGAGAGTGCTGGTTATTCACACCCCCACAATCCCTGCCGGTATCGAGACTCAAACCCCTTTAGGAAAAGGTTTAATGGATAGACAGGTATACAGAGTACTAATTAAATATATATATATGACTCAGGTTTAGGATCTAGATTATAATATGTGTGGATAGGAGTACCTAATCTGGGGCATGAAGAGCTAATTGTCAGTGTTAGAGGAGCTGAACACGCAGCGCTAAGCATGAGCATGTGAACTGAGTGCTCCATAGATTGGAGAGAATATGAAACATCCACCACAATGAAACATCCCCCCCCAAATCCTTCCCCTTCTCAAATTTCAGACCTATGTAACTTTACTTGACATCCAGTACAGTAGGTGGAAATAATGCTCCTAAGGAGTTATTCGCCATTAAACAAGAAGAAGAAGAAGAAGAAGAGGCTAGTTTCAGTTACAAGAATAACAAACCAGGGAGAACAAGTTCATTTGTTTGGGTCCCAGCGCACATAGGAGTGAAGGGAAAGGAAAGAGTGGACAAGGTCGCAAAGAAGGCCTTGACTAATTAAATATATATATATGACTCAGGTTTAGGATCTAGATTATAATATGTGTGGATAGGAGTACCTAATCTGGGGCATGAAGAGCTAATTGTCAGTGTTAGAGGAGCTGAACACGCAGCGCTAAGCATGAGCATGTGAACTGAGTGCTCCATAGATTGGAGAGAATATGAAACATCCACCACAATGAAACATACCCCCCCCAAATCCTTCCCCTTCTCAAATTTCAGACCTATGTAACTTTACTTGACATCCAGTACAGTAGGTGGAAATAATGCTCCTAAGGAGTTATTCGCCATTAAACAAGAAGAAGAAGAAGAAGAAGAGGCTAGTTTCAGTTACAAGAATAACAAACCAGGGAGAACAAGTTCATTTGTTTGGGTCCCAGTGCACATAGGAGTGAAGGGAAAGGAAAGAGTGGACAAGGTCGCAAAGAAGGCCTTGCAGAAGGAAAATGTAGAAATGCAAATAAGAATCAGTAAAGCAGAAGTGAAGTGCATAATCTGGCAAAAAATTAACCACAAGTGGCAAGAAATGTGGGATAACGAGGGGAAAGGGAGACATCTATATCGTATTCAAAAGAGTATCAAAGTAAATAAGGTAGAAAGTGGAAACAGGAAAGAGGAAATTGTATTAACAAGATTAAGGCTGGGACACTTGCTCTAAATAAATCATTAAAAATGTTAGG